CACCGCCTCCGATGGCTTGGTCACGTTTTGCGTTAGTCTGCCCATTATATGCCTTTCCGTGCTCTCTTTACATGTGCTGGGTAGGGTTGGAAGAAGCACAACGGCAGTCGGACTACGATATGGTGGATAAGTATGAAGAAGCTGGCTTCAGCTTTGGTTTCAGTTGGTGCAGCCCACCTTCCAGGTTGGGGTCCAAGGGCTGAAGATCATTATTGGTTAAAGAGGTTAGGGGATATGAGCTAGAATTGAAATCAGAGGCGCAAATGCTGTACGGTCTGCCTATTGAAGTCCCGTGCCCCATGAATAAAACGATAAACTAACACAAAAATAATCAAAAACTGCACGGTGAAACAAACAAAAATTAATCTCATGTGAGTAATGGAGGATTTGATTAAATTTCAATTGAGAATTCGTCGTGTTTAAAGCAAATGAAGCGTGAAATGAATAGCTAGGAAGCACTGGATAGCTGTTTTGACCTGGTTGGGTCTCATCAGCAGTGCGAATCCATCGACCCAACTGGGGATCGAACCCGAGACTTCATGGGCAGAACGCAAGCATTTTTGCCGTTGAATCATGGCCTTAGTGGCTAGTTCAGCTCATCACGTAAGGCTACAACTTGATTAATGAAATAAAAGTGCATCGCTCGAACTCTGCACAAGAATGGGCACGTTGGACCCTGATCGTCTTTGTTGTCATGTTGATGTTTGGATGATTGAGTTGTCCGATTTCCTTACTGCCCAACAGTCACAAACGTTGGTGTTTTATCTGTACCTCGCGGTAACAACAAACCTACTCGGAAAGTTCGATGGGTTTGTGTACCTATTATCTGAGAGTTTGAAGGTCTTCTTCTGTTTTATTTGAATTATTATGTCTGTATCTTGGATGGTCGAAAAATATCGGTACTTTCCACCCCTCATTGAAATCCAGTCGTCGGAGAATATTCAAAATAAACTAGCTTTAGTTTCGTTCCACTGCAAAACAAGTTTAATTTTGTATTGATGGATGCTATGCTAATGGAATATAACAGTCAATGCGCACGTCAGTGATGGACTATGGCAGTTTCGAAAAAAATCCTGGAAGTTACAGCCCTAAACGCACAGAGGTGAATATTACATGAAAGTGATTTATTATGGCACTTGCATGCCGTTAGAGAACCGCGTAATTTACGTTCTGATCCAGTTTTGCTACAATTTCCTCAAAACTGGATGCTTACTAAACGAAAAAGAACGTTAGGCACAGACGCAATAGTAAGTCACGCGCGCTATGGCTCCCGTTATCAAACTACCTTCAATGGTTTACCTGAAACTCGTCGTTGACAGTCATGGCATTCCCAAAGCTGACTCTGATAAATAACTCGAAATTGTTCTGTTCCATTATCTCACTTGAACTGGTCATGTGGAGAATCTTCACAATAGGGGTCGTAAACTTTATGTTCATGCTTTCAGACTTAGACTCTGTTCCCCAAATTTGTGGCCGCATGCATGCTCCCTCGTTGGCTACACTAATCCCTTGTATTTTTTTTCTGACTTGATTTCAGCTTAATTTCTAGATCGAGATATAGTAGCACAGCAAGAAATGTCCTAGTTGATTTTATTGTGCGCGAGCATATCGACGCATGTGTAAGAGCTGATAGAATTTTGAACAATGAAGACCACCGCATGCACAACGAACTCCTTAAAGCCGTGTCAAACCCCAGTATCTACTTCCATTATATGCTCCTTCCTGTACGCACGACCACAGCAGCCACCATAATCCCATCCGTTTTCTAGTGAGCCGGAAACCTATTATTGCAGATCTGGTAAAGCATCTACTGAGTTAGCTTGCTTAACTATTACTAGAGTCTATGTGCCCGCAGTGCGCTGCCGTTTCGCTTACCTCTTCCACAATCCTTGGCATTTTTTTCCACTTCCAAAGCATTCACTTGAAAATCGTTCAACTACCGTGAAAAGTATTGATCGGTGTTTTTAATGCACCCTACTCTTTTATCTAGTCGTTATTCTTTAGTGCAAATTAAGGTGATACTACACGCTATAAAACTGCATCTTGACCGGAGTAATGATTCGTCAGCTGCAAAAAATTCATTTAAGTTCCGTATTTTGTCTGTCTCTCTATACAGTAATGTAGTTATAATGAAAAAAGCATTTTATTTCTATGGTTCTGATCAGCGCCATTAACAAACGTTGAATTTGGTCATTATTGCTTTACTAGGATGTCATTTCCAACCCTATTACTCATTACCGGCGAAAGTCAGATATATGGTTGGTACGATAACTGAGATGCAGGGGAAACGGATTTGGAACATTAGGTGATACGAAAAATTGCGATCGATCACTCCAAAAAACGGGAACAAGTTTGGTGCCCAATACAACAACCATGAAACAATGGATTAGTCGGGTACAAGTGAAGAGAACCAAGGTGCATGGTTCAGAGATAAGGGGCTGTGAGAACTGCGTATCTGTA